CCAGTGCCATTCCAAACAACGAGAGGTGTGGGGCCTTCCCCCAGGTGGATATTCTCTGCAACACTTTAGTTTGCAAAATTCCCTCTGCCTAGATGCACACGACATGAGAGCTACCTGGACTCCTAAGAACCTTTCTGAGTCCCCGCTTGGGATCCTCTTCATCCTCCAGTCTACTGTTGGTGCATACTTGTCTGGGAGGAGATACACAGATTTGGACCAGTTAATAGTTCCTTCCGGCAGCTCCTCATACTGGCGGAGACAGTAGCGCAGTGCCGACATCAACTCCCGTGTATTCGCAGAAACCGCAAAGAGGTCGTCAGCAAGTGCCTTGACCTTGCATTCCCGGCGACCCAGATCAATGCCCACTATCTGTGCGTGATTCCTTATGTTGTTCAGGGGAACTTCCAGATGTAGGACGAACAACAGGGGGGGCAGCGGACATCCCTGACGTAAGGACCGAAACAACTGAAAAGGTAGCGAAATATGCCCATCAACCATGACTGACGCTGAGGATTGTGAGTACAACCAATCCCAAAATAACTCCCCCCCATCCATCTGAGAGAGGTTAACATGTATGACCAGTTTACCCGGTCATACACTTTTTCCATATCCAGCAGTAGGACTGCTACATCCATCTCCTCCTTGCTTACCACTTCACGCATCTCCACCGCCGTCACGATGTTCTCGTAGATGGAGCGTCCTCTCACGAACGCCCCCTATCGTCCTCGAGTTGCGGCAGATATCTCCCCAGTCTTCTGGCCAACACCTTGGCCAGAATCTTATACGACACATTGAGAAGCGAAATTGGCCTCAAATTCCAGATCTCTATTTTTCGCATCTGGTCCATGGTGTGTTTCCCTTTTTTCTCTTTCTTTTTTTTGGGTGGTTGGACTGGTCGTGCACGGACTGTAGTTTCCAATGGCCACCACTTTGTCAGTCACGTTTTCCGGCACACCGTTGATAGATGCCAGAAAACGCGCTCCTTATCGGACAGCCCATCTCACTGACGGGCACAGACTGGTCACGACCGTAGGAACTTTAATCCAACAGTACCTTTCTCAGCTATCGATGCCAAGCCTAAAACTAACCTGCGCGCCAAAGAAAAACGAACCAGCGTGGACCTCGTTTTCACTGGCGCCACCAGCCATTTCGCGCTAGTAGACCTCGTTTTCGCTGGCGCCACCAGCCATTTCGCGCTAGTAGTTCCAAGCCTGCCCACCTCCCGTGTTAACCGGCAGGCATTTGTTTTCCAAGCAGGGAGAGGGACTGGTCGTTTAAAAGAATGTAGTAGATCAAAAATAATAATTAAAAACATATATTGTCACATCCGGGGTTAAGGTGGATTACCACTTACAGTGTAAGCAGTTAGAGGATTCTGCAGACTGTTGATGGTTCAGCCTCCTGATGAGTAGTTGAAACTCCGACGAAACAGTTTGTCACAGCCCCTTGTTTGTTGTCCTCTTCTCCCTCTCTGCCTACGGTTTCCATAGGCAGCTCAGACAAGGGGCTGTGACAAACTGTTTCGTCAGAGTTTCAACTACTCATCAGGAGGCTGAACCATCAACAGTCTGCAGAATCCTCTAACTGCTTACACTGTAAGTGATAATCCACCTTAACCCCGGCTGTGGTTAAGCATCAACGACTGCCCGACAACTGATACCCTGAGGTGGGCACCAACCACTGCCCTCAAGGTACCTGTGACAAAAATCAAAGCAGCTTATCACTCACCCACACCAGATGGAAAACTCTACAGACTGTCCGTTCACACCCCATCACAAACAAGCAAAACACCCACGAAACAAAAGGTCTGTCACAGCCAAAAAATACACTCCAGACACGCCGCTGACACTAGAGGCACAGAATGGGCGCGTAGTAACGGTCATCCAGCGTCCACTTTCAGTCCTACCCCAGTTGTTAATCTATTTACTGTTCTACCTCCCCTGGGACAAAGAAAACCGAGCACGAGCGTTAGCTTACGGCCCCAGCAAGCATGAAATAAAGCGTCAGAGCATACACTACCGGTAGGACTTTTTCAACTGAGCTCTGGACATATTGCGGTCAGATACATCCAGATCAAGGTGGAATTCCAGTCAGATACATCCAGAAAGTCCTACTGTGATTATGCCCTCAGATACACAGGCAATACACCAAAACACACTCAAACTCGGATCTCGACAGCAACTCAGAAATCTGCAGCGAATCAGACCAACCGACAACAGTACTCAGAAAAACTGCATCAATCTCAGAAGTACAACTGTGCAGGTCATTGCTTTTTTCTTTTTCCCCTTTTAATTTGGACCATTTTGCGATTTATGTGTGTCATCCTTGCACAGGGCCCATGCTAATCTTCTCTGTATCGTTCCAATTTTCGCGGATGTCCCAAAGGATTCAACTTTATCGAGGAAAAAAGATGTTGACGTCACACTTTGCAAACCAAATGAACAAAACAGAAGACAGCAGAGGCACACTGAGACCGTCACAGAGTGTTGGCACACTGCTCTGCTGGGGCACAGGGGCAGAGAAGTGATCCTCAACATCAAAGAATGCGCCAACAGTCTGCTGAGCCAAGGAAACACCATCCTTGCACAGGAAATGATCGGAAAACTATGGGATGCACCACGGTACCATTGTCCCACAGTTCTCAGTGGTCAGAGGCATGAACAATCACCATATACTGGCCAGGTCCATGTAAAATGCAGGCAGAGATGTAAAGATGCGGGATGGAGGACGACACCACGCATTGGGTCGAGCATGACACAGGTTCAAGTTGGCAGTCCCTCACTGCAACTTGTAGGACCTCAATTGCCAAGACTCCTTCCCTGGTAGAGTTACTACCATCTGCCTCTGCCCTTCTGCCTCTGGGCAGAGAGGATCCACATCAAGAGGAAGGGTGACTGCTGATGCTGTATAATGTGGGCAACAGAAGACTTGCAGACAAGCATCAGTAGCAGCTAGCCCACAGAGACTGGGGAGGTTCTCAACCAAATAAGAGAAAAGGGGACAACAGAGATGTTCCTCATTCGTGTGACCAGGCTGGAGTGCTGGACACTGCCCAACAATGTCCAAGTTACTCAGATGATGCTCGAAGTCTGGAACGTCCTCGTCGGTCATTAGGAGATCACCCGTGTGGTCTACTCCCTTGGGGCAATTTGAAAGTCAGCCAAGGGTATGTTGCACTCCCGGGACGTTACATGCCACATCCTGAGTGGGGACCGCAAACTGAGTGGGGCCCACACCCTGCGTGGGGGGACTGTATCCTGCTCTGCAGGTGACTCGTGAATCTGTAATGATGTAGAGCATAGAGCATCAAACAGAAGTTGGGATGTCTGCAGGGGATAGAGGAGTGGATACTGGCGTGTGGAGCAAGGGAACAGCAACAACATGTGGAGCACGAACGGAAAGAACTGGGACAGACAAAGAAACGTGCAGCCGATCCTTGGACAGGTGATGATGCAATGCATGCCATCGGCGGTACACAGTACGAGGAATTCTGGCGTCACAAACTGGAGATTAGCATGTCTCCAGCAATGGAGGTGGAACAGCGGGCAAGGGAGAGCCTGTCTGCAAACGATGCCATCGAGGACACTGAGGCAGTGACGAGGAAAGGCAGTGACGAGGAATCCTCCCGTCTGCACCCAAGCACAGAGAGATAGGAAAAGGGTGATCGAGTGAGCAAGGGCCCGAGATAGACAGCACAGGCACCGGAAAGATGAAGGATGCATTGTTCTCTCCACAGGTAGTGAGACTGGGGTTATCTGGCTGCTGGAGAAAACCATATGGGTAACCGCGATCGTGTGAGCACACAGAGGGATATCTCAGGTGAAACTGCAGCAGCAAAAACTGCACCGAAGGAACCATAGGTTTATTGCGAGCAGATGGGCAAGCAAGGGCGAGACGAGGGTGCCGCACCGGGGGCAAGGCAGATAGCGGATGATACAGGGACCATTGCAGCATGTGTCAGAACATCGGCGAGAGCTCATACACATACGTAACAGCTGGTCAAAAATACCCACAAAGGTAGGAAAAGGGTGACAAGTGAGGGGCTGTCACACACCGTTGCATCAGGCATTCGCCCCACAATTCATCAGTGGGGTTACAGCTGGTCAAATATACCCAGAAAGGTAGGAAAAAGCTGAAAAGCGAGAGGGTGTCACACACCATTGCATCAGACATTCACCCCCCAATTCATCACTGGGCTGAACCTCCAACAGGCTGGAGAGAGCCCAACCCCACGACCCACTACCAGTGGTGCTTCAAGCCATAATCTGGCATGACGCCAAGTGAAAACTCGGCAGAAAGGTAGAAAAACGACAAAAAGCAAGGGCTGTGGCAGACCATTCGACCAGACTTTCAACAGCTCATCAGGGGGATAGAACCCAACGGTACCCGACAGTATGTAGAGCCCCCTTATCGATCCTTGAAGCCAGCCACAGGCAGAATGGTGGCTGCGCCAGACTCTTTTGGCCGAGCGTAACGAACTTGTCAAGGACCAGAGCCCTCAACAATCTGTGAAGCACACTTACCATATAACGCACCAGGTCCCCCGAACCACGGGCAGAAAAAGGTAGAAAACCGGACAAATAAAGGGGGTCTGTGACAGACTGTTTCGCCAGAGTTTCACCAACTCGTCAGGGGGCTGAACCCTCCACAGCAGTCTGCAGAGCCCCCTACCAATGCTTCAAGCCGTGATCTTCCCTGACCCCAAATCAGAGCAAATTATCAACCTACCACCCATCGATAGCAGCAGATGCAAGATTCCAGAGACTATCAGTTCACACCCCACCCTCGGAAGCCAGGAAATCCCCCAATGAAACAGAAAAGGTTGGTCAGACTATCACAGCAAAAAAGGTATGTGGACCTGTCAAAGCAAAAAAAGGGACTGTCCGGCTGTCACAGGCAGAAAAGACATGTACTAAACTTGTCATTACGAGAAGAGATTCGAACTGAACGAGCTGTCAGCGAAATATGCCATAAAAATGGAAATGGAAATTGCATCTAACCTGGCAGTTTTTTGGCCTTACGGACAGGCACAAACTTTGCGCCAAGTGCGAGCGCAATGGGGGGACCGAAAATAAACCCCCGAGCTTCAATTCCTGCACAAAAAGACAGCAGATTAACAACAAATCCCCCCCATCAAAAGCCAGATAAATTAGCCCCAGCTATCAAACGTCAAGCTAGCAGTCCAAGTTTGAAAGAAAGTAAGACAGGGTGGGTACCTAAATTTAGAAAATTGAAAGAAAGATAGGCGTCCTCCCTGGCATCCGACCAGAATGGTACGGAGAAGATTAGCATGGCCCCTGCACAAGGATGACACACACAACTTGAGAAATCGTCCAAAACAAATTTAAATATATATACAGAGTCAAACAGAGCTGCCCGGTAAACCGTAGGCAGAGATGGAGAAGAGGACAACAAATGAGGGGCTGTGACAAACTGTTTCGTCGGAGTTTCACACACTCATCAGGAGGCTGAACCCTATATATCGTCAAACAGTGAAAAAGAAAGAGGGGGGGGGGGGGGACAAAGAAACCCCGAAAGCAACATTAATTCTTTCAAGCAAACGATCACCCTGAATCACAGAAAGCAAGCTGTCCCAGATAAGGATGGAGTGCAGTTGAAAAGCTGCTGTGTGCGTGTGTGCTTTGGGTCAGCAGGATTCGAACCCGCAAACTGTCCAAGTATTTGCTGGAGTTCGAGCTGTTTGTCGCATTCGAGCTGGGACGCTGGTTCACTCCCAGTTTCCAGCACAAGCCAAAGTAAACCAGGAGTAAACCAGGAGTAAACGAGGAGTAAACGAGGAGTAAACCAGGAGTAAAAGCAGGAGTAAAGCAGGAGTAAAGCAGGAGTAAAACCAGGAATAAACCGGCGTCCCAACTGGTTAACTTCGCTGGGACGCTGGTTCACTCCCAGTTTCCAGCACAAGCCAAAGTAAACCAGGAGTAAACCAGGAGTAAACCAGGAGTAAACCAGGAGTAAACCAGGAGTAAAAGCAGGAGTAAAGCAGGAGTAAAGCAGGAGTAAAACCAGGAATAAACCGGCGTCCCAACTGCCGTAAACCAGTGACGGCCCCAGCATTTCCGGGTTGTTTGTGAGGATTTCCGGCCTCATGGTGTTAATTTTGGAATATAAAGCTACTCGAAACAAAAAAAGCAAAAAATAAGACAAAAAAGAGCAGGCCTTTTTAGACTCGTACAATCTAGAATTTTATTAGGCATCAACCTGCTGCCGTCTTCACCCCAATATAAAGTAACATACAGTCATCCTCCCTGTATACGCCGAAAGTTGCCACAAATACAGGAGTAGTAATTGACCGCGCGCTATTCCGGGGAAAAGACCATACGCTTAGGGTTTAGGGTATAACTCCCCAGAGGCAGCAACCAACCATTGGTTCAGAAAAGTCATTCGTCAAATCTTTGGTGCTTTGTGGGAAACTGGAGGTCCGCTATTTTTAGCCCTGGTTGGGGAAAAGACAAAGAAAAGGTGCCGCCATAGCCAGTGAGATCTTTTCTTTTTTGTCTGTATTTCAACAGTTCAGTTCAGGAGTGTACCAACTGAGTTAGGCCCGTTGGTAGCACCATTGACCGCAAGAGCTAGGCCCGTTGGTAGCCCATCTCGGATTTCATGCAGAGAGATCTTGCTGTTCACTAGACAGTTGCTTGAAAATCCAACCAAAAAAAAAAAAAAAAAGATGTCCGAGAATGCTTAAATAGTAAAAAAAAAAAAAAAGGAACCAACTGTAGAGGTTAAGAGACTTGGCTCTTGAGGTCAAGGGTGCTGGTTCGATTCCGAGCGTGCACGGATTGACCTGAGGCCAGACAGCATGGATCCATAACAACAGTCCTGAATGGCCAGGAGGGACAGACAAGCTCCTCCTCGACACTTCCCAGGCCAGGTTGGCTGATCGACAATGGCAGAAATTTTGTTTCCTTTGCCCCCTCCCGTAGTAGTTTCTTTTTCTTTCTTTTTCTTACTTTTTTTCTTTTTTTTCCCTCTTTTTTCCTTCCTTTTTTCTTACTCCCCCCCCCCCCCCTCTCTCCCCTCCCCTCTCCCCTCCCTTTTAAAAAGCAAAAAATCAACCCGGGTACTGAGAGCATTACTCAGCTTCGCTTTTGAAAAGGAAAGAACCAAATCAGCAATCAATCTCTAAGACTCCCAAACGCCCAAAAGACGCCCAATCAAAACTCTGCCTACACGACGCCAGATTGCCAACATTACCGTCTTCACCCGAATACAACGCCCAGCCCTCATAAAACTGCTGAGTCTTTGTTTAAAAAAATCATAATAATACAAATAAAAAAAGAACGCCCGGTCATTGTAGCTGTATTTGGAGCAACTTTCAGACCAGATGCAGCGATAATGACAGGCCGTTTTATTCGTGTGAAGACGGTAGATCTACTCCTATCTAACCTGCTACACCAGCTTAATTTTGGCCTGGCAAACCGGTCTAGGTGATGATGAATGCACCCACAATACATCCAAACACGTGTCACAAGGAATGAAAAACTTCACAARWAAAAAAAAAAAAAAAAAAAAAAAACCTTCACAACTAAACTACCATACCTGAGATGACAGCAAGCAACGTAGGCACGCACTCATAGTCTAATTCGTACAGTGGTTACTACCCTCTTCACATGAAAAAAACGGCCCGGTAATTATCGCTGCATCTGGACCGAAACTTGTGCCAAATGCAGCTATATAATGACCAGGCGATCTATTCGGGTGAAGATGCTAGGCCGAAAGGAGAGTGATGGATGAACGCACAATACATCCCAACAAGCGTCACAAGGCATCAAGTTCACAATGAAACCGGTCCATAGGCTACCAACGGGCCTAGCTCAGTTGGTACACGCCCCCCCTGCACTGTTGAAATATAGACTCAAGTTCATCTTCAGATACCTTCAGATCAAAAGAATAAAATCATTCTGAATTGCCTGGGGCCGGTCAGTTCGATGATAATATCTCAAGGCCGTCGAGCTTTTTCTAAGAAAGAGAGAAAGAGAGAGAGAGAGAGAGAGAGAGAGAGAAAACAAAAAAAAATAAAAAATAAAAAGGTCCAGGCCTGGCAAACCGTTCTATTCGACGGGTGGGAACTATCCGTTCCAAACTGAGAGCCACTCACCACCCTCCCAATAGTTTGAAGCATCCGCAACTAGGGTACCAGAGCGGCCCGGGTCCACTTGCCCGGCCGGGCCAAAAAGAAATAAAAAAATAAAAAAATAAAAAATATTTTCTAATTAATATTTTTATTTTTGATTTCCCCCTAAGGCAAAAGTTGTTCAGTTTATTTTTCTGCATAACATAGTTTTTTTTCAGATTTTTTGGATTTGTTTTTGTTTTTGTTTTCTTGGCTGGGACCTTCCCTGGTGCTTGCACGGCCGGGCCGCCCGGCAAAATAGGGTGACCCGGGCGGCCCGGCTGGTAGCCTAAATCCGCAATTAATTACTGACCTTTCCCCAATAAGTACTACTTATTGGACTTCAACTGCCGGCCGAATCATGATGATGCAGGAAGCTAGGCTACCAGAGTGGCCCGGGGTCACTTGCCCGGCCGGGCGAAAAAGATTTAAAAAATAATAATAATAATAATTTTTATTTTATATTTTAAATTTGGTAAAGAATTTTGATGTGACCCTGAGGCAAAAGTTATTCAGTTTATTTTTCTGCATAAGTTTTTTTTCGGATTTGTTTTTGGATTTTTTTTTTTCTTGCTGGGACCCTCCCTTGTCCTTGCACGGGCTTGCCACCCGGGACCCGGGCGGCCCAGCTGGTAGCCTAGGCAGGAAGACCTTTGTTTTTGTTTTCTTGGCTGGGACCTTCCCTGGTGCTTGCACGGCCGGGCCGCCCGGGAAAATAGGGTGACCCGGGCGGCCCGGCTGGTAGCCTAGATCCGCAATTAATTACTGACCTTTCCCCAATAAGTATTACTTATTGGACTTCAACTGCCGGCCGAATCATGATGATGCAGGAAGACCTTGACCGACAGTTGTTAAACTCCAAGCGAGCAGTGCATTTTACCGAAATTTTGACAACTATACATGATTAAATAAACAAAACAAACAAATCAGTGTTCGCCTAATTTCTTCCTCGTAATGACGAGGATGAGGATGAGGGTGATGAGCACAACGACCATAATGACGCGATGATGATGACATTAGGGATGGAGAATGCCAATATGATTTTACCGAGTACTTTGCGCACTCTTTTAGTTTATAGGGTGGTTGGTTGCTATCCTGAATAATGCTATGCTTTATTCGATTCCAGACTCGATTTGGTTCAGTATAGAGGGCGAAGGCTTTCTGTTCTGTTTTTATAAATGTGGGTTTATGCAGCATTTCGTCTTTTCTCTCTTCTTTTTTTTTTCTTTTTTTTTCTTTTTTTGTCTCTTGTCTTGTTGACTTTTTTGTCATTTTGTCAGTCTTCTTATTTTGTCGTTTCTTTTTTCTCTTTTTTCTCTTTTTCGCTTTTTTTTTTTTTCAGGGGGGGGGGGGGGGGGGGGGGGGACTATGTCGGTTTATGCGGCATTTCCACTAAATAGTTAGGATCAATTAATTAATGAGACTTGGCTGGAAAGTCTTTTTGCCTTTGTCAACGGCATCGGTAACTTTTGTAGCTTTTCATTTCCTTTTTTTTTTTTTTTTTGATACATGTGGTGCGGGGGTGCACCACGTATCAGATCTACTAAACTGATGAGAACAGATACTACTCTTGATCTATTTTTAGCGAACAGACCAAGAAAGGTACATTATTGTTTTCTTGAATCTGGTGTTCTAATAGCGTTAAACTGGCCAGTGGCTACCTCTAATTATATTTTAACAGTACAGATTCGTAGGCCAAAGGCGGGTTCATCGAATTGCTTTCTTTTTTTAATGAGATGATGATGAAAATGATAAAGATAAGATGATAAAGATGATAAAGATGATAAAGATTGATGAAGATGATAAAGATGATAAAGATGATAAAGATTGATGAAGATGATGAAGATGATAAAGATTGATGAAGATGATGACGATTGATGAAGATGATGAAGATGATGAAGATGATGATGACGACACCGACGGCAAAGCAGGTACCGACCATTTCAGACTGACAACCACTATACACCTCCGAGCAATCCTGTATGTGCCTGCCGCCATAGCTTGTTTGCAATAATTACAATAAGATGACAACCACGGCAATGATTTTGTGACGATAATCATTTAACGACCATAACCACGAGGACGACAGCAATGAAGATAACGGGAATGTAGTAACTTATTCCTACGACTACGGTTGTAGATAATAACCCGTAAAGCGACGACGACGATGATATACGTACTGACAATGAAGGTAACAACGGAGTACGACGCTGGTTGTTATGATCATAATGCTGATGATGATGATGATGATGATGATGAAGCTGAAGATTATTATGATGATTAAGTCAATGATTATGATGTCAAGACGATTATGATGATGATTATGATGTCAAGACGATTATGATGATGATTATGATGATTACGTAGATGATATGATACGATGGTTATGATGATTTTATCCATGACGATGACAATGATGACAGACAGGCGATGGGGATGATAATGACTGATTATGATGATGATGATCTCTAATACAAGAATGATACGGACAATGACGAAGACCCCATGAACAGTGATGGTATCACCATAGTGATCATCAGATTGAGGATGAATATTGAAAAGTCTGTGTCTTCATCCCCCTACGAAACATAAAGCCGCCTCCCCCACGTTATGTTATCGCGCTGCCTATCCATTCCAAACGCGGATAGGAGCTGCCTATCCGCGCTGCCTATCCAGCGAGTATGACCATTGGATTGCTATGTTCCCCCGCTGACCATCGTGCGATGTTCTCGTGATGCCCACGGGGCAGCATAGCAATCCACTGATGCACAGCGTCGCCATTAGAAGTCCGTCGGAGAATCGACTCAAGTGATTCGTATGATCTCTCTCTCTCTCTCTCTCTCTCTCTCTCTCTCTCTCTCTCTCTCTCTCTCTCTCTCTCTCTCTCTCTCTCTCTCTCTCTCTCTTCCCCTTGCGTGTGTAAGAGTTAATGAATGACCGAACGAACGAAGAATGGCGTCGATCGAGGGAGAAGGAATATAAGCAATGCTGACCACCAACCATCCCGCCAGCAGGCCAGCTACTTACCCGCAACTACGTCGATCTTCGACTCTGCGTATCTCTCCACGCATATGTCGATGCAATCCTTGAACGCCTTTGGATTCAGAAGAAGTGTCGTGACGTCCCGGAAAAGTATACCTGAAGTAAGGAGGAAAGAGAGGAAAGAAGGGCAAGAAGAGGCGGCGGGAGGGAAGGGGGGCAGCGGGAGGAGGAGGAAATCAGTGATAGGATATCGGCAAAAACTTATTACGCACAGAAACGACAAAACACGCAGAAACGACAAAACACGAAGGTTGGGAAACGACAAACACAAACCAAGCAGAAGCAAAGCGTGAGAAAAGAATAATGAACCAAGCCCACGTGGCTGAATGGCGGACACATGTATGTAGCTGTTAATGCACAGAACACGTGAGAAATGAACCGAATCCCGAAGGAAAAAAAAAAAAAAGTGTATTGTCTGAATTACCCACCTGGCGTGTTCAGAATAATCGCCAAGCCTACTCCTGCGCGTCCAAAGCGTGAAAAAAAAAAAAAAAAAAGACAATCCCAAAGGATTCGGTGCACGAAAGAGGATATGGGAAAGGTAGGGCAGAAAAGAAAGAAAAAAAGGCCAGCAAACATGATAGCAGCAAAGCCAACTACAGATAGGAGAACAAAAGAAAGGGCGAGCTGCAGTAAACGCAGAGTCAAAGCGGCAGAAACGTGTTTGTTTTTTTGTTTTTTTTTCTACCGGACTCGAAAAAGCCCAGTATTGTTGTTTATTGCCACTACCTCCCTCTGTCAGGTTTTGAACTTCTTTTAACAACATTAAACTTTTTCGAAACACATTGATTTTGAACTTTTTTCAAACACATTGTTTTTAAAAGAAGTTCAAAACCAATGAGTTTTTTAAAAAGCTCAAAACCCTCAACAGCATTCCGTTACCCGAAAGATTTAAAAAAAAAAGGAAAAAAAATAGAAAGGCACTAAAAAAGAACGGAGAGAAGAGAGAGAAAGAGAGAGAGAGAGAGAAAGAGGGAGAGAGAGGGAGAGAGAGGGAGAGAGAGAGCGAGAGAGAGGGAATGGAGAGCAGAGAAAACTATTAAGAGAAAAAAAAAAAAAAATAGAAGCCAGGTGGAAGTGTAAGTGGGTACGGAGATCAAGGACAAAAAATTACGAACATAGAACAACAAGTGCCCAAGGTTGAGTGAGAGATAGAGATAGGGTGCAGAGGACTCCTCCACGCGAAGATAAGGACGATGCAGCCGAATCTATACGATACACGACAAGCAAATAAATTACGGTATTATTTTTTTTTAAAAGAGCCAGATGAAGGAGAAGGGGGGGGGAAATATATATATATATCCGACGAAACAGTTTGTCACAGCCCCTCGTTTGTTGTCCTCTTCTCTCTCTCTGCCTACGGTTTACCGGGCAGTTCTGTTTGTGACGATATATATATAAAAATATAAAAAAAAGAAGGGGAAATAATGCAGAACCAACGGGCGTAGCTCAGTTGGTCCGCCAGATGAACTGTTGAGATGCAGACGACAGTTCGAATCCCAATGAACTCAGGATGAGTAAACAACTCTGAATCTACCTGTAGCAGGTCAGTTTGAAGATGATATCTCAAGGCCATCGCCCTTTCTAATCAAAAACAACGAAACAAGGAGGAAACAATAATTATAATAATAATAATAAATAAATAAATAAGATTTGGTAGTATCTCCGTGATAATCAGCTTGTGTTAGGAGGGAAAAACAGCTTGTACTTGATGGAAGGAGGGCAGGGCACGAAGGAAATGGAAGGAGGGAGGAACCCCCCAAGAACTCCCACATGCACTTCCAGTAGGGAACACAAACACCACAGAAACTGCCAGATAAAGGGACATTCGTTCAAATTGGAACGATACAAAGCAGTTTGATTAGCATGGCCCCTACACCTTTATTTATTTATTCCCTCCCTTTTTTTGTTTTAAGAAAAAAAAATGGACCATTTCTCGATTTATGCGTGTCATCCTTGCGCAGGGGCCATTTTGCTAATTACCCTTCTCTATATCGTTCCAATTTAACGGATAGTCCCGAAGGACGGCCCTACACTTTCAAGGACAACACGCAGATGTCAAAATCGAGAAACGGTCCACAGATAAAGGGGGGTATGGGGGGAGGGGGAGAGGGGGAGAGGGGGACAGGGGGAGGAGGGGCGGGAAGAAGGAAGGAGCTCGATGAGGAGGAATACGACCTGGCTTTGGGAAGTCGCGGATCGCTCGGATGTTAAAATCGAGAAACGGTCCA